TCAGTAGGGTTATGCAAGTGTGAACTTGGACTAATGCAGTGATGAATCAGGGTCAGCGTGTGAGCAAGCCTGCATGGGTGTGCATCGCAGTTTTAGGATAAATACTAGAAAATAACATCATCTGCGTTTGCTGTCATTTAAAGGGCAAAGAGCGAGGAACAGGCATCCCAAATGTGAAAGCCTAACCCAAGCCACTTGCTGCACGTAATCCCTTTCATGACTCTAGTCCTTATTCACTAAAACCTACTGACCCCAAGACGATCTGGAATGCTTTTTTTCCCCATTTATTGCATAGAATCCCTGATCTCCATCTTCTGTCCTTGTGTTTTTTAGCTTTGTCCCTGATTTCTGTTTCAGAAAGCTGAGAGGTATGATCCTGCTGCTCTCTGGCTCCCCACTCATCCTTGTTTGAACTTTTCCAAGCTCTTTTCACTTTGAACTTGGCTCCCAGTCCTCCTCTCTGCCTCATGTGCTACATCCCAACCCCTCTCATTTCCTACCTTCTAACACTACTTCACCTCCTCCCCTCTCATTAGACCTTTGTTATCCCTCATATTTGCTTTTGTAACTGGACCTTTTCACCAGGACCTAACTTCTACTAACACAGGGCGTACAGAGATTTCAGAGCAAAGGGTTGATAGGGAAGACCTGCTGCTTGCATCTGTTGAGGGAAATGTGACTGTCCCTGTGGGATTGGCTGCCTCCTGGGGTTTCAAAGCACCTGTCTTGGATTGCAGGGCAGGCTGGACTCCATGGTCTCATGGTGGTGGCTCGCTCAGTGTTGCAGAATGGCACCTGAATTGCAGTGCTTGGAAGTCTTTTTTTTTTTTTTTTTCTCCTAAGGTGGCTGGCTTCAGAGCTCCCCTGAAAACATTTTACTGCAGGGTTTGTCTCCTGTGATTAAAACAGGATGAGGGGAAATAGGAAGACCAAGGCTCTGGGGTACAAGCTGGCCTTTCTTGGGATGCTTGAGCTGATGTATCTGGGATCAAGCACTGAACTGGGTGTTTGGTCCTCAGTCTGTCTTTGTATTCCTCAGTTATTTGACACTGTTCTGCTTGTTGGCCTTTGTTTCACTTGCAGGACTAAAACCGGGGGGTGTGGGGTGTGGAAATCTGGTTGTCTTGACCGGGTTGTGCTCGTGATGTCTGCCTTTGGAGGAGCTTTCTGGAAAGCAGAGCCGCTGCCATAGGTGAATGACTGCACAGGGAAGGAGGATGTGTGCTGTGTGGTGTTTACAGCATTACTTCTGAGTTTTGGAAAGGAAAAGATGCGGATTTTGCCTTTTTAGTTCTACCTAGCTGATACTGTTTTGTTTTTAAAAGTTTGTGTCCGATTCATTTCAAACAAGGTGTTCCTGTCTTTCCTCTCTTTGCCAGGGCGCTCCTGGGATTGCCGCCGCAGGGATGAAGGTCAGCTTTACACTACACCGCAATGGCTTTAGTAAGACGTGCTTTAGAGCAAGGGCTGGAGTTAGAGCGCCAGGCACAGGAAAATGGTCGGACAGCTCCCACTAAAGGGGAATATCAGAACTGCTATTGCTTTTGGCAGAGATACTAGAGCGGTCTTCAGCAGCATCCCTGCTCTGTACCTCCCTGGGCAGAGCGGTTGAACCCGTGATACTCCACGACGGTGTGGGGATGGCAACGGAGCAAAGGGCCAGGTGCAGATTTAGAAGGCTAGAAGTTAGATCCAAGATGTGCAATGAGACAGTGACCTCTCAGCCCGAATCCCTCCAACTGCTGGGGAAACAAACCAGAAATAAGTTATCTCCAGGGCTGATGGGGAGGGTTTTCCTCCTCGATGCCACATTGATCCTGTATCAACACAGCCTCCTCCCAACCCCAGTTGCAACCTCACCCTTGCTCCGCTCCTGTGCGCACAGAGGTAGGAGTAGGCAAAGTCCTTAATGCCAGCAGATGAGTCTTGTCTTATTATGCTCTCTTGTATCTGGTAAACCTTCTCTTCAAATACTGCAGAGTGGTTACTCAGTTTTGTAAAAAGCCACTTGTCTGAGGCTTGCTGGTTTTTTACAGCAGCCTAGGAGCTGGCTAATGAAGACAAAACAAGCTCCAGGCACAAATACTGAGATGCATTTAAAGCATCCTCATGCCCTTATTTACAAGCCTAAGGCCTCCATAGGTGAATGTTCTTTCTTCTGCTCTGATAGCTCTAGGAAGTTTTGTACTCTGTCCTCCTGGTTTTTCACTTTATTTTCCTGTCTCTTCTTCACCAGGGCGAGCCCGGGACTCCAGGAGAAAAGGTACACTCAGAAGGCTTTGCTCTGAGCCTGCGCTTCTGTTTTTTTGTATATTTTTTCCCCTCCCAGAGCAGCTGAGAGAGCTGAGGAATGGCTCTGTACTTCCTAGTGCCAAAATCCAGGCCCTCATGGCACCTGCCGGTGTAAGCAAAACGGCAGTAGCATACAGTGATGCCAAGTGAAAGAGGGACCATACTGCAAACACGCTCCCTCCCTCCTGCTCATATCTGTGTTGACGGAAATACCCTCCAGCTGCCTTCCTCCTTTCCTCCCGACTCCACAAAATATGCACAGCACACTCTGCTTAGCAAATATATTCCTTTTCCCACTTCCCTTGTCCCCTCCTGGTACTTCTGTGTCCACCAGAAGCCTTCCCATGTTGCTTCAAGGGGCTGTTCTTCTGTCATGCACCGTACAAGCTGCCCCGCACAGTGTCCCCTGTCTCAGTGTGTAGCGTGACTGGGTTTGAGTTTCCCGTGGTGGGCATGGTACAAAAATACCCCATCACTCTCCATCACTAAGCAGCCGGCTTGGTTTCTGAACAGCTGGCTCCTCTTGTTTGAGGCTTGCTGGGTTATGTTACAGCATGCGACAGCCATATAACAGACACATTCTCTGTCTCTTTTCTTCCCCACGAAGGGAGATCCTGGAGTCCCAGGGAGGATGGGCCCCCCAGGTTTGCCAGGGAAGAGGGGGCAGCGGGTAGGACATTGCGTGTTTGGGCTTGGTGTTCTGGCAGTGCTGTGCTGTGTTCCCTGCGAGCGGGAGCTGGCGGGAGCCTGCTTTGTGTTGCGTTGTCGTGCTTGCGGGGGATTATGTGTCCTTTTCTGGGTCTTGCCCCCTTGGTGAAGTGTGTTTGCGTGTTCCTGCTTGCAGGAGGTGGGGGGCTGGTGGCAGGCAGGGCAGCATGAGATGCCTGGGATGTAGTCCTGTCCTGGGAACAACTAAGGACACTGGTGTCTCTTTTGACTCCAGAAATAACACCCTAAACAGGGGTTCAGTAATCTGACCTCCCTCCTCAAGAAATCTGCTTCTGTACACCATTGTTCAGGCAGCACAGGATGTTTCCAGTAGCCATTATGGCCATACGTATTGAAACTAGTCCTTGAATGAGAAGTAGGATACCAAAAGCAGAGCAAGGCAGAATCAGGGATTCACAGAGGCCTGGGACAGGATTTAGAGATTATATCCTTACAGAAACCCCAAAGGCCAAACCTTTTCTTTGGGCATGAGGTCCTGCAGATGTTTTCCTTCTTTCCAAGGGGAGAAGCATTAATTTACAGCAGCAATGTGCATGCTCTGGCAGGGGAGGAAAGCTGGGTGAGGGCCTTACAGGTGGCTGGAGGCCAAATTACTTTAGAGAAAGGGGTCACTGCACTCTAGAATTGCCTAAAAAATAAGATTGCTGCTAGTTAATTATTTTCTGTGTGTTCCTGGAGCATTGATGCAAGCCCCCTGCATGTCAGATGTGTGCCCTTGAGTTCCCACAAGACTGGTCTGCAGCAGCAGGCTCTGCAGTCAACAGCATGGTGCCAAGAGGAACTCTTTGCTAGCCTTGCTGATCCGGTGTGCTGCTGTTGTGGAGAGAGCTAGGCAGCTGCTGGGGGAAAGAGGTTTTGAGTTGTTCCTTGTAATCTGGACAAGTTGTTAAGTCTTGGAGGTGTGAGGATTGCAGGTAAGAACACACCTTTTTCTGATGATGGATTTGTAACATCTCTTCATGGTAACAGAAACCTCTGATATCACTCTCTGTCCTGGTAAAACGCAGACTCCTGAACAGGACACTGTAGCTGGAAACCATGGGTTTAGCAGCTGAATGGAAAGGGCTGAACAGAACTTAACTCAAGTTAAGTACTAGTCAGAACAACGTAAAGACCACTAACTGAGCTCCGATATTCAAAAGATGACCCAGATGTCATGGTGAACTAAGCAAAGTCACTTCACCAAGTGGGTGCTGGATGCCTTCAGTTGCTTGCTGCCCTGTGGCACCCCCCATACTCCATGGTGCCTCGCACAGTTCAGCCTGCAGGCCTTGCTCTCCAGGCATCGTTTAACACCATCACCTTCTGTCTCTGCTGGTTTTGCCACTCCTGTTTTCACTGTTTTTCATGACCAGTATGCGTCACAGAGCTTGGCTGCTAACTGAGACGCTGCACTGCTTTGTTTTAAGAGTATGATGAGACTGGGCTTTGGATTTAGGGAATGGGAGCAGGAAATGCCCCTTGGGAGAAGTGTGGGAATGTTGGTTGTGAGATCTTTGCCAAAGTCAAGCAGTGTAATTCACAGTGTAATGAGGAGGTGTGAAAACTGGGATGATCTCAAGCAGTGGACAGCTGTGAAAAGAGCTGACCTCTATCAGGGCATGGAGAAAGTCTTACACTCCAAACAAAATTCACTCAGGGCAGCAACTTCTCTGGGTATATGGATTGAGGAGAGCCTGTGCTGAAGCACTGACAGGGAAAAGGGTTAGAGCAATAAGGAAGATGCATGGGAGGGATCCTGGATCCCTTTCCCACTCATCTTCCTTTGGAGAGAAATGGCAATGATGAGCAGAGATAGTCAAAAAGTTAGGAAAAAATGTTCACCGTTCTGAGCAGGTACTGCTAGAGGATGCCTTGTCTTTGCCTAAAATAAAATTCCCTGAGGAAGGGAAAGAAACCAGGATCAGCTCATCCTTTGGCTGCTCCTCGAGGACAGAGAGCCTGCAGAGTCAGCCTGACCATGTCTGTTTTGCCAACAGGGTGAGAAGGGACGAGCTGGTGACCCTGGGCTTCCTGGACTCCCTGGCATGAAGGTTTGTATCTTCTCTGACTTTTTTGGTGGGAGCTGCTCTTATCCCCTTTCCTTCCTCCATCCTGTGCCAGCTGTGCACAGCTCAGGCACTCTTAGGTCACTGTCGCAGTGTAAAGCAGCATGTTCTGCAGAGCTCAGCTGGATGTCAGTGTAAGAAACCTCAGCCAGGGATGTGATGGGGTCACACAAAGGATGACTTGTTGTGAGGAATTGCGTGCTGTCATGCAGTCAAGGGGAGGCTGTGGTCCTGGGAAACGTGATCATGGAATTGCGTTCCAGTAGTTCCCCTTTAAAAGCATGACCTCAGATGTAACGTGGCATTTCAGCCTCCCTCCTGCTCCAAGATCCACGTGTGAGGAGGAGATGGGCTTTCTGGGAGCTGCACTGCTGTGCTTTGAGTTGGAAGAGTAGCCTTGTGCTTGGAGAGACTCAGGGCACGTCAGCTAAAGCTAAGTTCTGAAAGTGTGGCTTTTTCCCTGTGCTCTGAGGTGTGGCTGGAAACCACACCTTTCAGGTCAGATTCTCACAGGGTGCTTTTCCTTTGGGAAAAGAGACAGTGCACTGAATGACAGTGGCCATTTCAGGAAAGGACGAGGGTGTAATGGCAACTCGGTGTAAGCAAAGCTTTCCTGTTACTGCCTTTGTATCTGCTCTGTGCAAAGCATGTGATCTGCGGAGCTGACTATCTGGCTGATGACTGCAGCTCCAGAGGGAGACATACCCATAAAAGCTACCATCAGGTGATTTTATCAGCTCAATTTCAACAGTAGAAGCAAACAGTTGGGTTCAAACTGGAGGCTGGGGGATGAGGTCTGTCCACAGGCAGCTTTATTTGGCCTGGGGATTAAGGGCTGAGCAGCAGCCCTGCAGCCAAAGGGATGAGGATAGCTGTGGCTGCTGGCAGGGCTCTAGGTGGAGCGCCCAGGCAGAACTATATTGGCCTGGTTCCTGGACAGCTGGTGGCTCTGGAGCAGTGATGTTTCTGGGCTATCAAGAGGCTGATGGACCTCATTTTGGGCCCTTCTAAGCCAACAGTTTGGCAAGTGAATTTACAGAGATGGAGAGACTGAACTGTGACGCATGGCTTGTCCTTCCTTGCAAACAGGGGGAGAAGGGAAATGCTGAGAATGCCCTGGTGGGAGGTAAAGGAGAACCTGGCCCTCCAGGTCTGCCTGGGCCCCCCGGACCAAAGGTGAGTGTTTTTTGTTTTTTTTTTTTTTCCTTCAGGGAGTTGTGTGTTTTGAGGGATTATGCCCAGCACGAGGTGTATAGGAAGGGGCAAAGGTTACACTCATCTGTGCCCACCTCTGATTACGTGCTGAAGAGATGTCAGGTTCTGCAGGGTGCTTTAGTTTTGTTGTTTTCAGTGTTGAAGGTGAGAGAATTTGTAAACTGTGTTTCTGGGAGGAAAATATCCTCCTTGTGCTCCAATAACTCCCCTCTAGGCTCTGTGTCACTCAGAATCAATGACAGCCTCTAGTGTCTGTGGCACCTGAGGCAGGGTGGACACAGGGAGGCAGGACGGAGGCCCTCCTCTCCTGTTCCTCTTCTACCTACTCAAGGAGCAGTAGCAGTAAAGTCCTGTCCCTTGGCAAAGGACACCAAGAACACTTAAATCTGATGTCCCATCTCAGGTGTACTTGGAACAGTCCTCCTGTGCACTTACTTTGGGTCTGAACTGGGTGCTTTCCTTCTTTCTGAATACTCCCTCCATGCTGGGTAGAAGAGAAGAGCACCTGGAGTGAAGTCATGGCAGGAGATTTAGATTGCCTGAGGAGCTGTGGGCATGGCAGGGGTGCCTGGCTGGTGTAGCTCTTCCTCCTGGAAATGCAAAGCCAGCAGTGGAGTCACACCCCCTCCACACAACACAAACCCATCCCTTTCCCTTTCTCTCAGGGAGAAGCTGGTGACGTTGGCCGGCCTGGTGCTGCAGGGTCACAGGGGGAAAAGGTACAGAGTGCTTCTGCACAACCCCATTCCAGGTTTGGTAGCTGCAAAATTGTTCCTACGTGTAGAAAACTTAGCTGGAAATGAGCATTTTAAAACTGAGCTGTCTAGTCCCAGACTGTTTCCGAGGACTAGCAGAGAACAATAATTCCTGGAATTTGAGCAAGTGAAGGGGTAGGCTTTGCTAATGGCATGTTCTTCTTGTTACAGGGGGAACCTGGTTCACCGGGAGACCAGGGACCCATGGGCCCAAGGGTAGGTGTCCCTTCACTAATACTTGAAGAGGTTGGGCCCTTCAAAGGGGTCTAAAGATAGTGGGACCACACTGACAGTCTAGATTGGGCCTCTGTTTTCTTGACAGATGTTCTCACCATCACTAAAAGTGCTGGGCAATGGCTAAGTTTGAGACTAGGCCATTTCTCCACTCCGTATCATGGAATGATATGATATGGATATCACTCTCATCAGAAGATACTGCCACCTTAGTGGGGGAAAAGGTCTTCTGAGCCACCTCAGGGTGAATGCTCAGCTCATTCGTAGGAGGAGGTGGGTATGGACAGTCTGAACTCAGGCCCTTGGCGTATCGGCAAAGGGCAGCAGGAGGGTGTTTGGTGTGTGCCCAAATCTGACAGTCAGTCAGATGATCCCGTTCCTGGATTCTTGCCTCAACTTCACCACTTACCAGACCTGCTGGCTTTGATGGCCATAGCATGGTGATCTGGGCTTGTCTGGCTACAATTTGGTAGTGTTTCCTCTATAAAACATGCCGTTAAAAGCTTTGTTTAATAAATGAAAGACTGGAGGCTCATGAAACAGGCCCCTCAGACTCCCTTTTCAGGGTGAACCACAGCTCTGAGTACCCTATGGGAAGGGCGATCCCCAAGCCCTGGCTAAGGAGCTGCTATTTTGCAGGGCCCCAAAGGAGAGCCGGGGAAGGGTGAAATGATGGACTACGATGGTAACATCAGTGAAGCTCTCCAGGTGAGCAACTGCCTTCCTGTTCCATGAGGTGACTGCTGGGTGCTTTACTGTTTCCCAGGGGATGCAGAAAATTGGGAACAATGTAGATCTGCTTCCTCGGCGGCGGCAGCAGCGAAAGGATGTACTTGGTTGTTCCATAGTCCCCTTCATCCCACAGCTCACTGCATAGAGTGTTTTGGTAACTATTTGTGCACCTTGTTCAGTTGATATATTAACGCTGGTGGATGTGGAGGTAACGTGAATCCTCTTGAGTAGCCCATGACTTGGGGCAGATGGTGAATAAAAGGACTGCAAAGCTTCCTTGGAAGCATGCAGTGATGGTCTGTGGTGAGTGAGCAGCTGTGCCCAGCTGTGGGTTAGCCTGGGTTCTACTTGGAAAAAAAGGGGAAATCACAGAATAACAGCTCCATGGGTCTCAGAGCCGGGGTTTTTGCTTTTGTTCATTTTGAAGGCTCCTTACTCATTTGGGCCAGTGTTACATTAGTGGAGAACAAACCACCTCCAGAAAAAAAGCTTAGTTTTCAAATGGTTGTTCTCCTTTTTGATTTTTTTCTTTACCTTTTTCTAGGAAATACGAACTTTGGCCTTGATGGTGAGTTCCTAGATTGCTGTGTGGTTTTAAGCAAGTAGCCATATGTTCATCCTAAGCAGATGGCCTGGCAATTTAGGTGAAGCTAAAACATTTGGCCTTTGCTGGTGGGGGTTAAAGTTGGGGCAGCTGACAGCTGAAGGAAGAGCTCATCTTGCCTTCTGATCTTAGCACTTGAATTCTAATCAGGCCCTTTATTTCTCTGCTTTAAGAGGTAATACATGCTGCTCAGAATAGGGAGTGCTCAGAAGGGGCAAGGAAGAGCAAGGGGGGCTGACCGAAGCAGAGAAAAAAGAAGCCTTGGGTGCCTTGCAAGAAAATTTATAGTGGCAATCTGTGGTGGACACTTTCTGTGATGGGAGGGGAGGGTGTATTTTCACCATTGATTATACCTTGACATACCTGTACAAAACGGATTATTTAAAACAGCGATGACTACAAGCTGCTTGAAGACAGAGGCAAAGTAGTTATTTTGAGCCAAAATAAGGGAAGAAGTGTCTCTGTATTTTGCTTCTCGGGACAAGAAACCTGGTTAGGAAAAAAAGATGGATTTTTTTAAATGCAGTATGACAGGGCAGCACAAAACGGGTGTAAGTAGCATCACTTGCTAAGCCAAACTGCTTCCTAGGTCTCCTTAAAGTGGTAACTGCCCAAGAGTGATCAGGAAATCTGCTCAAAATACTTGTGCTATTTAGCTCTGCTTAAGCTGTGCTTGGAATTGAAGTAGTACGGTGTTTCCTATCATCTCTATTCTAAAAATAATCTTTTGTAGATAGGAAAGGAAAGCCTTGTTAAGTTCGTCTCGGTTTCAGGAGCAGCGAGCTGTGGTTGTTTTTGTTTTCTTCAATGAAAATGTAAAGAAATAGGTACATATCTACAACCACTTTGGACTGGCCTGCTGCTCACTCAGGACTCTCCATTGCTTGGCTTCCCAAGCAAATACAATTTTAGGAGTCCCTGGGAAAATTCCCTCACAGTTTCCCCTTAAACTCAGAAGAGCTGTTTGGTTTCACAGCACAAAGATAAAAGCCCTGTTGATAATCTGAAAATGAGTTTTTCTTTATCTAGGGACCACCAGGACTTCCAGGTGTGGCTGGACCTCCAGGGCCACCAGGACAGAAGGTATTTGCTCAGTTCAGCACTTGCAGAGCCAAGAGAAACACAGGAGCGGTCCAAGCAGAATTCTGTCCCCATAACCCTCCCCAACGCTCCTATTCTCCCTGTCCAGCACTATCAGGCTGTCCTGCTGGCTTCTACCACTTCTGCTTATGCTCAATATCCTGAAAATCTCTCTTCTCACAATGATAATGCCTTATCTGAAAGATGAAGGCTCCTTTCTACTTGCCCTCCCCTTTAGGAAGCAGCTTATGGGAACCGATCTCTGTGTGGGGATTGCGTTGGTTAGGGACCATGTTACAGCACTGGGGCCGTGAACTGTCTGTCAGGATAAACAAGGCTGGTGAAATTCTTAGGCAGTCATACAATGTATTATTTCAACAGGGGTTTCCATGGTGGTTTTTTTCTGTGACTATTAGTTACCAGAGTCCCTGCAGACTATTTCTGTAATGCCCACCCTTCATCACAGTGCCTCGCAGGAGGAGTCAGAATAGCTGCTTTCAAACTGCTAAACTAACAATTCTGTGTTTCAGGGTGAAATTGGCTTGCCAGGTCCCCCAGGCCATGATGGAGAAAAGGTAAAACACTGTGTCTGTGGATTGTTCCTTCCTTCAGTGGTCTTATCTGGAGTTAGTATGTTCCATCTCTGTCACTGATGTTGCTTTTCCCACAGGGGAAAAATGTATTTTGCCTCACAAAAATGAGTGTTAATGGTTTATCACAGTTCTTACTATAAGGAGTGGCTGGGATGGCATGGCAAATCTGTTTTGTCCTGCCCATGACTTCTCAATGGCATTACTGTGAGTGAGAGGATGAGCAGTGAAAGAGTCTCTGGGCCAGGGAGCTGCTCTGCAGGAGTAACCTTACTCTTACCTGTAAATGTTTCACTTTCTGTTGTGTGGATTTGTTTTAGGGACCACGTGGCAAGCCTGGGGAAATGGGCCCCCCTGGCCCTCATGGACTGCCGGGAAAGGATGGACCACCTGGAATAAAGGGAGAGCCAGGCCACATCGGGGTCACAGGAGAAAAGGGTGACAAAGGGGAGCCAGGACAAGTGGGCTCACCGGTGAGTAAATTGAAGCCTCTCAGAGCACTGCTGGCTATCCAGTTACGGGGTGAGACCCTGAGACTTCTCAGAGACTTTGGAGCCCCTCCGACATGGGTGCTGGAGGCACCTCACTGCTGCTGTATGAAGTGTACCAATACAGAAGTGAGGTCTTCGCTCCCTGGCAGATGAGTGGTGTCCATCTTGCTGGAGTGGCTGTCCCCAGCTGCCTGCCCTGCTCTCTTGGCACCGTGTCACTTCCTCAGCTTGCTGCCTGGTGTATTGCTTAAACTGAAATGCTGCTGTGAGCAAGGCAGCTGAGGTACCAGCACACGTGCTCTCCTAGGAGGGCAACTGCTTGGGGTAACGCCTTACATCCCTGCCACTAACTGGGGCAGAGTGCCTAGTCTCCCAGCTTCAGTCTGTCACAACTTCTGTGTCCCCAGCACTAGTCAAGAGGGTTTTATGCAATGAGTTTGTGCCTCTCTACAAAATTACCGGGATAAAACTCTTGCAGTCACAACAGCTGGTGATCAGGGAGTGATTTCTAGCGTGGACTCCAGTAAACTGCATAACTGGGAGCAGAACTTGGAGGCAGGAAAGCAGTCCCCTAGCCCCACTTGGGACTGGCACATCCACAATGACAGGAGGATGTCCAGGCATTTGCACATCCAGTTTCAATATTAGTGAAGCCTGGCCTGCATTTCCCTGGGCACCTGACGGTTGTCTGGGGTTTCCACTGTGTTCTTGGGGTGACCAGAGCCAGCCTTAGCTCTTGCAATGACATCTCATATGTCTGCCTGAATTAGCCTTGCAAAAAATCCACAAATCTTTCTTGATCTGTAGGGTCTTGATGGCCCCACTGGAGAGAAAGGCGAACGAGGTGACCAAGGAATGCCAGGACCGTCAGGATTGCCAGGTCCCATTGGACTTCCAGGATTGACAGTAAGAGTGAAAAAGACAGGGTGCTCTTTCCTGCTTGGCAAAGAGAAAACAGCGTAGAGCAACACACAAGGGTTCGCTTCCCGAAGTGCTGAGTATCTTGGGAGCCTCAGACCCCTGCCCCTTAGTTAGGTGCTTACGTGTCACTAAATGTCCATCAGGTCAGGTCTCCGGCAGCGGGCAAGGGCCAGCTGGGCATCTGCTCCCATTGCAATCTGGAGGTGCTGGGCTGTGGCACCTGCCCGCAGAGCCTGCGTGGCTAAGTCAGCCGAGATGCCTGGTTGCTGGCAGCGTGGTGCCATGGCCGACTCGCTTGCCGCGCTCCCTGCCTTAGAGGCTGGAGTGCAGGAGATAGGCGTACAGGATGCTGTTGGGGAAGGGCAAGCAAAGCCCTGTGGCGCTCCCCTCGCACAGCCAGGAGATACCACTCCTGGAGGCCTCCTTCTTTGTAGGGCGTCTCCTCTGGAAGCAGGGGTGCGCAAGAGCTGCAGGTGAGCTGTGACATACGTGGTATGTTCGCACCTCTCCTTTGGGGAACTGCTGCTTGTCAGCACACGGGTGGTTCACTGGCAGCTTCTGATGGAGTAAGACTCCAGAGTGCAGCTGGTGGTGACAGGGTCTGTTGTGTGCAGGGAGAGAAGGGCGAGCCTGGGGAGCATGGTGACAAAGGAAATCCAGGAGAATCGGTAGGTCACCTTTCTTATTTTCCTTCTGCAATTTCGGCAGTAGGGGAGGGATGATTTGGCAGCAGTGTTGCTGAAAAACCAGCACGTCCCACCCTCTTACGACTCACCCTTCATTGAGGACAGCAAGCTTCATCTTGTGGGACTGAATTGCCAGCCCACCTAGCTCCTGGTGCCCTACTTTTCCCTTACACAAGAATGATCTAGCTCACGACAAGCAATCAATAATGAGTGCCTAGGGAAAAAAGATGATCATGGAAAGCCTAAGAAATATTTTCTTTGGTGTTTGCAGTGAAAGCATTTCCTCAACAATACTTGCATGTATCTACATATACACATCTAATTGTCAACAGATTTTTGGGGTCATGAATTTGTCTGTTCTCCCCTCAAAGCTCACCCCTAGCTTTTGTACCACCTGCAGCAAGGAGTCCCACAGGCTATCAGTACACTCCTGCCCATGTGGAGCCAACCACCTTCTTTCCTATCTTTTTGAACCAGCTGCTAGCTGTTGACCTTATGCCTCCTTGCAGGAACAGTGGTAGAGTAGTAGAAGTGGGCCTTTTTTGGGGGGAAATCACTGCTCTCCTTCCTCCTAAATCTCTGCAACTGCTGCATAACTCTCCCCAGAGTCCTGCTGCTGCTTCTCAGCCACTCTGTCCTGGATTGCTGCTGCTTCCTAACGTAGTCCTTAGGGGGAATCCAGGTTTCCAAGCCTGTTAGAGCTCAACTGTAACCTGCCTCCTCTCTCAGCAGTTCCCCTTCACCTTCAGTGGGCAGCAGATTATGATGGTGACTTTTCTTGCATTGCTTTCTAGATATCTGGCCCCCCTGGACCCCAAGGCCCACCAGGACCTCCAGTAAGTTTTGAGTGTTTCACCTGAGGAGCAAGGCACTAGGAATGAAGATAGAGCGGGAAGTGGCTGGGGAGGATTCTGGGCAGAAACACTGCAGTGTTGAAACAGCAACATGCTTAGTATCACTTCCAAAACCACCCCCCCCAGGGTAGGTCAGAGCTATGATGGGCTGGGTAGGTAAAGAGAGAAGGTTATGTTAGTCTGAGATGAAAGGGAAGACAGTAGCAAGAGGGGATGGACGAGATTAAAGGGATCAACTGCAGAAATGGTCTTAATAGCAAGCCTGGCCCATTGCCAGGTTGTTCTTAGTGAGAGCCGCCTCATTACCAGATGAGAACAGTACATGAAGTGCCCGTTATACAAATAAAGAGGCCTCTGGGCTAAGCATTTGTGCCCTCTGTGTGTCAGAAAGCGCAAGCTCCGTGCTGCACATTGAACCGGGATACCTGGATTTTGAAAGACATCCTTAAACGTGACTCATATTTTGTCTCTCATCCCAAATATAGGGTCTTCAAGGCCTCCCAGGACCAAAGGTAAGGGTGCAAAACATTACATCCTGAAATTCTAGTAGACTCTCCCAGGTGCAAGAATTTTTCAGGCACAGCTTTCTAGCTTGCAAACGTTATGTACCGTCTTGGTAAGAGGACAAATACTTCTGAATATTTTCTTGAAGGAAATGGATTAGCAGCTCTCATTTTAGGACCCAGGAAACTTGTAATTTTCTCCAGTTTTTGCCCAGAGAAGTGGGAAACCACTGGCCCTTGGAAATCTTCCCATGAGAACATAGTTGAAATCTTTGTCTGAAGGGTGAAGGTCTGTACAGCAGGATGGACAGCTTGTCATACAATCCTAAGTAACTGAGTTCTAGCTTAAAATTAGCCAGGTTCTGTACCCTGTAAATTAGGCTGTAAAGCCACTCAAGAAATTCACTGTTCACAGATTGGAAAATGTGCGAAGTGTCTTAATTCTTCTGGTTATGCTTAGTATTTTGCTACCAGTGCTATTTGGGTGCTAAGGGGGATGGTATATTTATCTTGATTCATCTTTTCTCCAGGTGTTGATCAGAGATAACAGTTAACTGGTTTTGCTTGTCTGTAACTCACTAGCCATTGCTATAGAGTGTCTGGGAAATTTCCATAAGGTGCAGTTGTCTTTGGAATATGTGCCAAACAAATGCAGGTGAAAGTCTTGCACAGCACAGACTGGATTATAGGCAGAGGAAGTACTGCACCAGTTTCTCCTTGAACAGAGGATCCGTGTAGACTTAATTAGCAGGTGCAATGAGAAGTCCCGAATGTGGAAGATTTTGTTCCATCCCTGTAATTTGTAATAAGTCTTTTTGTAACGAGGCTTTCCGTAGTGGCGAGGAAGAGAGTTTTATACCCTTTGCAGGCATGTCAGAAGTAACTAACTCTTCCAGGTATGTGCCCGAGCCAGATAGTGTTGTAGGGCAGTGACGCACGGCTGTGTGGAAACTGGAGCGCTGGCAGAGTGAGCCAGCAATGTGCTGTCCTACAGTTGTAGAAGGGTACGGCAAGCAGGCTACTGTTTCTGTGCAAACTTGGTTCTTCTGACACTTCAGTTTCCAAATGCAGCCAAGACAGTATTTTAAAATGCTTTATGAACAGGAGTGTGAGGGGGAAGAGGTTTGGGTTGCATTTTGAATTTATTAAAAAGGAATAGTTTGTTTAATACTGTTTTATAGTTTATAATACAGAATTTAAAAAAATACCAGTCAGAAAAGGAATGATGAATTTTTCCCCAAATTTTGAAATTGATGCCTTTGCATCTACAAAAGTCTTTCCAAAAATATTTCAGTATGATTTTATTTTTTTTCCCACCAAGCTTATAGACACTTGTCATTCACTTCCAATGAACCCCCATCTTAGAACGTAAACCCACGCTATCAGATAACTTCTGGTTACTTCTATTTACCTGACACTCCCTGCAATAGCAAGGGAGAGCAACACAGAAATGAGCTCAGTTCACCTTTGACCATCTTTACCCTCTGGGCCTGAATCTCCTCTTACTGTCATTGACTTAAAAAAGACGCTCGCACCGAGGTCATTTGACTTGATAACTGGTTTTCTTCAGACTGGGCTGAGAATCAGGCTGAAGCTTTGCTCCGCTGCCTCTTGGAGTGTCTCTGCTGCTTTGGCACTCTCTGAATGGAGGAATGTTTGTTATATAAGCAGTGTTACAGTGGGTTTATTTTCTGCTCCATCCTTCCTTTAGGGGGAAGCGGGGATTGATGGAATGAAAGGAGAGAAGGGTGCCCAGGGTGAAAAAGGAGACAGAGGGCCACTGGGATTACCCGTAAGTATCCAGGAAGCAAGCAGCACTTCACAAGCCAAACTTGTATCAGCTGTAAAAAGATCCCTCAATAGGAGACGCACGCAGGGATTTGATATGTAAAGTCAAAGAAAGAGATGATCTATAAATAACTGTGCCTTTGCTTTTTTAAACTTAAAGCCTCAATTTCTGTACAGAACCTTCATCTTTTAGATGTATTAAATAGATCAGCGATTGCTTTAATTCTTCCTGCTTCTGGCAGGATTGGGAAAAACAAGCAGTAGCTTTCCTGTGGGCTCTTTGCACTTCAGGGCAACACGGCAAGAGCAGAAACAGAAGTCAAAAAGACATGAAAAGGAAACGTCTTCCCAGCAGTGTGTCACCTGGGCCAGGCTTTGTACAGAAGATTGGTGGATCTGAATGCGTCCAGCTTCTTCACTAGACAGTACTTTCCTATCACTTCTGCAGCAGAATCGATGCTTTACCTGATGAGGTCAAAGCCTGCAACGTTCCCTGCTGTAGGTGAACACAGTCACACTAGACTAGTGTTAGTGTACCGCTTAGCTTAGCAGGGAGGAATTTGGGCAGAATTATGAAGAAGCTACAGGAGCTTTAGAACCTGAAGCTCTTTGCTCACATCTGTTAAAAGTGTCTTCACCTGCTGCCTGACACTCAGCTGAGAGCCAAAAATGAATTAGTGGTAACTCAGTCCCTAGTTGCTCTACCAGCCCCCAAGTTCTCCCCTAATAGAAAGCACTTGCTGAACTTACTGCCTGGAAACAAGCACCACAAAGCGCATCTTGTATACCGTGTGACTTTGTCAGCCTCTGTTCGATCACCCAGATCCCTTGTCCCCAACTTTGGCTGAAATGTGTGTGTCTTTGTTTGTAAAATGTTTTCCTCTTTTAGTTGTGCTACACAGCAGTTACCTTCCAGGGTCTGGATGCATCTCACCTAACTCTAGGCATTTAAGTGAGCTCATCATGAGTGTATTTGATATCGTGGCTCTGTGCAGAGCCCATGGGGAGAAAGTGATGCTTTTGGAAGGCTCAAATGCAAAGGATTGTGCTTCAGAAGTACAACCCCCAGTCCCCATTTTGCCCTGAGAAATGCAAATGGAAGCTTTCTGTGTAAATTGTTATGCTCTGAAGTCTGTGTGGTTTCAGGACAGGGGAAGGAGGTCCCTGTGACAGTCTGAGCGGAAGGTGCCCCAGCAACTACCCTGACAAGCTCATTGGTGTGGCAGGGAATGTGCTAGCTGGTTCTGCTACAGCAGCAAGCCCTGTGAGAAACCAGGGTCCCTTGACTTTTCACATAACTCTTCCTGAGCTGTGGAGGGGGGAAGACTAGCTCAGAAGTGTCCTCTTAGAAATGTTTTGTGTATATCAGCTGGCCAACTAGGAAGCACAGTTACTGAGCTGTTAGTAAGATCAGAGAGATATTATGGACCTTGGGTCCCTCCTCAGGGCTACCTAACTCTCTTCATAAGCTTTTCTGTGCCTGATCCAGTGTGTTTTCAGCCTGTCAAACTAAATGCAGTTGTATTAATAAGTGCCAGATAGGTACCAAAATATTTCAAAGACAGACTGTACAATTCCACAGCTGGATGTGCTGCTGCTTCACGTGTGACCTAGGGCTTGACATCATACCAGGCTTTTCAGCACGTTTCAGCACTGATTGTCTGCAGTAGCCTTGGGCTTCTCTGTATGGCCAATAAGCTGAGAAATTTGTCATACTCCAGTGGAGGAAAAGTCAGTATTTTGTACTAATATTCTACTTAAGTTTTCTCTCAGGACCTGGGTTTCTTGGTAGGAACTCGAACTGCTGATGGCTCAGCACTGCTTGCAAATGCCTTCGTGACCACAGGCCTTCGAGCCCCTGAGACTTGTGTCTCATCTGTGTTGCCCAGCCTGCCACTGAGGCAATGCAGGTTTCAGCTCCGCTGTCACACTGGACCTTTCATCACCTGTCACAGAACAGCTTCTTCCTCAGGGGTTTTCTTAGTGGCACCAAGAGAGGGAAACTTGTGTTCTTAAGGGGATCTGAAAGTTGCAGGTCAACATTATATGTATTCAGTGTTTGTATGTTTTTGTTGGTTTGCTTGTAAGTACCATCGCCTGTCCTCGAGATCTTAATTTTTGTTTATTGCAAGCATATGTTTGTCCCAAGTCACTGCTTCACTCACCTCTCCCCTCCCCTCTCCTTTCCCCCTCACCCTCTCCTCTTGCCTTGTTTTTGTTAACCCTCCCCCGTCTGTTCAGGGTGCTTCAGGTTTAGACGGCAGGCCTGGACCACCGGTGAGTTCCGTTTCTCCATTACCCTACGTTCCTCCTCCCCAGTATCGTGATTTGTCTTGTCTCTTCCACCAGAGTCTTGTTTACACCAGAAATAACCTTCTTTTCCCCAAAGCAGGCTTGGGGGGGGGGGGGTTTAAACTTAGACTGAGAATTGATGTCACTTGTCTTTTTTTTGACGCTGCGAGTCTGTCTGGATCCTGGGATCACAGCCTATCTGCTCCCCTTTATCTCAATAACAAGATGAATTCAACATCTGCATGGTTCCATGATGCTCTGTTCTGCTGTGCTTTTTATCCTGAGGGGTCTCCGTCCTGTCATGCTCCGTGGTAGCCTTGCTTGCCACCTTTTCACAACAGTAGCTCTTCAGTTTTGTCTCAGGCATAATAACGCCAGTGTGTTTTGTCCTGTGAGCAAAAACCTTTGTGCCTTGTTGTCACACGTGGCACTTCAGGCTGTGTTGCTGTGGGTTGTAGGTATGCTCAAGGTATTTCCCTATAGCCTGGGAAGCATCTCACCACGAGAAGCTGCATGTAAAAGACCTTCTGCCAGCAGTACTTGGCTGTTCACCTCTCAGCCACAGAATGCCATGTAACTTCAGCAGCTCTGCATGTGCTTTCCTTTGTCCTGGGGGTGGTGGGGTGTGTTCCGGTCTATACATCTGAGAGGTAGTGACATCTAGTAGTGGAGCAGGGAGGTACAAGATTCCCACCTCTTGTTGCTAACTCACTGTGAGATCTGAAGGAAATAAACTCCCTGTGCCTAAACTTCTCAGTCTGTCAAATTCAGAATGGGACAAGTAATGCTAACCTGGTTCTGCAAACCAGTCTGCTATTATTGGGTGACTGCTGTTAAATAAGGGCCAAAGATATTTAATCCCTCTTGGGAAATCATGCATCACCCATGTACAATCCATTTGGCTATTTAAAAAGAGTGACTGGAAATAATGCAGCTGCTCTATAACTTCTGAACACAAGCTGATTGGCAGCTTTTACACTCACTTGTTTTGGGAAATTGTAGATTTAGTTTTATAAATGTGCAGGTGTGATCTCAATGCATTTCATGGCACTAAGTGAGCTTAAAATGATGTACATGTGCAGGCAATTAAGATTTCCATGATGTGAACTCCTGTGCATGGATCTAAGGAGAGTCCGATTTTTCTCACTTCCTTCACTGCCTTGAAGTTGTGTGCTGCATGAACTACTTTTCCACTTGTTTTCTGCAGATCTTAATCTTGTCTGAAAAGCTCTCCTGATCCATGAGAGTCATCCTGCTCACATTGTAGGGGTTACTTTAGTGACTAAGGATTGCAAGCTCGCATGAAAAAGTGCAAGACCCTTTTCCTAAAGGCTGTTAGAAAAAGACTTCCCTGTTCCAGAAACCTCCTCCTTTGTTCTCCCCAGAAGGTAGGTCATGGGCCTCAAAAGTATCCCTTCGTTGAGGCTCCACAGAGGAATTGCAGGTCAATACCTGAATGGTTAACAAAGTTCTTGCCAATCTAAAAGGTGAGGAAGGTAAATGCCTACCTATACTGTGTAGTTAGTACTACACGCTGTAAATCTGGAGGCTATACTTTATCTAGACTGCAGAATGTGGTCTGGGAGAGTTGTAAGAGACCCTCCAACAGGGAATGCTCCACAGTTCAAGGAGTCTATGCAGAGCTGAAGATGCCGAATCTTTTTCTTAGTGGGAAGGACTATTGCCTAACTGCTGTATTGCCCATGTTAAAGACAAGCATTGATTGGGTTAATTTCCCAAAACCCAAGCAAGTCTCAGCAGTACTGGGAAGTAAGTTTGGTTTGCTAGTGGGAGATGGCCCGTGTCGAAGGGTTAGCAAAAAGCCTGGGTTTTCCTGTTAGCATAATTGAGTTCCTTGTGGAGTGACATAAATGGCGAAAAGGGAACAGAGGGACCGGGGTTCTTAGTTTGCATCTTGTATGTATGCATCTGCATTCATCTCTGCAGCATGGTGTCCTACAGCTTGCATGACTGGCTGCCTGCCACCAAGTAACCAAACGCTTTTGTTTGTTGCACAACTGACTCCAGGGAGGTGGGGGGAGAAAATAAGGAAATAAAGAGAAAGAAAAGAAAATTGCTTATCATGCATCTACATAGCCTTTATTCTGCTACAGCTTTCAGTCTTGTCTGATATAAACTAGAGAGAAAAAATTCTCTCCTGTGGAAGTGATAGAAAAGTCTGCAGCAACAATTGTTGAGAGCTACAAAATTAAAAATAAGGCTGTGTAAAATGGTGCTGGCGTGATGTAATGTAGCAGTTCCCATGTTCTTCAAATTGCCTATAAAAATTGCTTCGCATCCATCGCCACCAACACTGAAAGCTGTAGTGGTGCTAGATGCCTTCCACCACCAGACTGCCCTTCCCAGCTGTGCATTTTCCTAAAGGAGCAGCAGTGTCTCCTGGCTTTAACGAGGCCCTAGAATAAAAAAATGTCCTGATGTGTTTTCCTTCTTACAACTACAGGGTACTCCAGGACCAATTGGGGTTTCGGGACCAGCAGGACCAAAAGGAGAAAGGGTGAGTTTGCTTCAGAACTGACCAGCGCGCTCTAACTTCTTTGAAGATACCATGGTTCTCTGGGATGGAGAAGCTCTACGGTTTTTCTAGAGCTGGAATTGCTCTCTCCTTGTGCATATAAGACCCTCAGCTGGGCCTGTTTTGATTTTTTTTTTTAGTATCTTATCCTTGGGGATGATAGGTGTTTAGGTGCTTTTTAGATGATTTTTAGGTGCTTTGAAATGCTTCTTTTTTTATATAGTGCTGCCTGTTGGTACTGAATAGGAATGTAACAATTTCTATTTTTTTTTGTCTCTGTTTCAGGGCAGTAAAGGAGATCCTGGAGTTGTAGGACCAATGGGGCCAGCAGGGCTTCCTGTAAGTATGGGAGTACTAGGGATTTGTTACCTGCAGTGCCTGTTTCCTTGCTGCAGTTGATAGCTTAAGATGCTGCTGTAATACAACATTTGCAATTTTGGCTAGGTTAGGTGTTAAAGAACCAAAGTTACAACCTTACGTATGCTGTGGGAGCAACAGAAAGAGCTTGGTAGCTTCAGAGCAATGATTGAGGGAGGTGGATGAAACTGAAGGGAAACTGTTAATTCATCTTGGTTCTCACACTACCAAAAGAAGCTGTATGGGACTCCCAGGACAGGTATCTCAGTCGAAAATGCCGCTTTTGACCGCATCTGCTCTGTTTTCATTCCTGCGGCTTGGATGCCTGCCTTCCCCCTGTCTGAGGGGGCCCTGTCTTGTCATTGCAGTGGCAAAGCTACCTTCAGTCAGGTTACTTCTGCTGCCCGGGATTACTTTTTGCAAAACGGGGCCAGCGTTGGAAGTCTAGTTTTATGTAATTATGGAGCTGCTTTGTTGTTTAACATAAAAAAGGAAGTTTGCTGCTTCCCCCCCCCCCCCCCCCCCAAACTGCATTCTCTAAACTAGTTTGTTTTTATCCAAAGAACCCCTAGAGTAGTAGTAGTGGTGTTACAACCTGGATGGCCTAATGGAGGTAAAGAGGAGGTTGTCTGCTGGAAAAGTTTTTGTTTTTGTTTTTTTACCGTAGAGCAATTGGTACAAATGGGAAAAAACCCAAAGTCCTGGGCACACATTCTGTTTTTTTGAGTGGGAATACAATGGGGCCTACTCGTTTCAAAATACTTCTTCTTGTGTTGATGTATTTCAGGGTTTACAAGGTCTACCTGGTGACAAAGGAATCCGGGTAAGTTACCAGGCAAACTTCTTGTATTTAGTTACTAACATCTTCATGTAGTGACAGACCTGCTAACTCCTGAGCAACCTCAAGTAACTGGCTTGTAATTCTGTCTGCTAGACCTTCACATCAGTAACTTTACCAACTTGTATTTTAGATGATGATACCTGTCGCTTGTGTAATCACCCAGGACGTCGTGGTACATCTATCTGAAAGCTATAGGAGGGATTTTCTAATGTGTTCATTGTTGTCATAGCTCTGTTCTCACTGAAGTATGGGACTTCACGTGTAGTAGAGTTAGGCCAACGTGGCAAGCTTTAGGAAATCCTGCTCATACATTTACTGATGTGTGTAGGGCTTCCCATGAGAACTGACTGAGGTGGAGCCATTAAATCTTATTACGTTACTTTTACATTCCCCCTGAAGCACGAAAAAAAAGGTTGCCCTCTAGCAAATGATCCTCCAGAGAATTTGGAAGATAGACATTTGGAAAAGATAAATTAAATTTGCCTCAGAATCAGACATGAAGTCTCCTCAGGCATTGTCCTGAATGGATATGATGGTTGGGTCAAAAGCAGTAACATGAACGGCTGCTTTTCTGTCATACCACCTGTGTTAGATAAACATTATTAAACAGTGCATGTTGAGAAGCTCCCTGCTTTTTCGTCAGGTTTTCCACAGCATAAGGAATTTCTTGCCTGTTAAGGCTCTGAGTCTTTTTGATAAAACCAGTTGAGATCTATAGTTGAATATCATTTATATTTAGAAATATAAATGACTTCTGGATTAGAGTCTCTGTAAGATTACAATTGTATAAATATGTCAAGCAGTCCAATATAGTACATGTGTATGTTTTCATGCACGTACTCGCACATACACTTTCTCTTCTTAAGACTCTGGTATTGCCTAAGTTTATCTGAAAATGTAGAGTTTTATAGTGCATGTGCCCATGCAGTGATCTCATTATATGAGTTTGCTTTTGATACATAGTGAGTGTTCTCTGTCCTTTATCTACAACGTATTTCTGACCTTACTCTGCACAGAATGGGCAGTTTTGGAAAGCAATAGCCAATTGGCATCTTAAACTAGGGGAGAAAGGTCCAAGTTTCCTGGGAGCTCTAAAGTTCTCCCCTTTTTTAATCATTGCATTTCTGGCTTTGCTTCTTAACTTCCTCTTCACTAAGATGTGTTTTGTTTCGTTTGTGTGGCTTCTAAACAAAAAATAACTTTAACAGAATTGCTAGACTTTTTCAGTTGGTTTTTAAACTGGGTATTTTAGTTATATTATTTAAAAGAAGGATCTTTTATTAGCTCTAGATAGGACTTCTCTGAGCTCTCACCTAAAACAAAAAAAAAAAACCTGGGAGAAACTGTACTTCCTTGTAGAGTTGGAAAGGATGAGTGGGAAGTTTTTTCTGGCCCCTTGAAGCATGCATGCACGCACTTTGCCTCACTACAACCAATATTTTGAAATGAAAAAGTGTGAGAAACTTGAAATGGGCAAGTGCAGCATCTCTGCAGGTGGGATCTTAGAAAATGCCACTTTTCCCACTGAGCTTTTGTACAGGGGCTTCCCCTCACCCCTGCCCCTCTTAAAAAATTGCAAACAGGTCACTGCTACTTACAGGGGTTGAACAGCACAGTTTTGGTGAGTCTCCTTTATACAGTTGTTTTGTCTGAATGCCTCCATCCCTTTGAAGTCACTAGAGACACCTGACAAGCGCCATTTTAGCAGAGCTGGACACAGTGCCGGTTCCCAGGATTTGCCCTGCAAACCCAGGTCCCCCCTGCAGTGGGACACACGGCGTCAGAACCTCCTCAGAAGTGCGGGACAGTCTCTCCCAACTGCTGGCAAAGCTACGGTGGCAGTTCAGCCAGGAGACTTCAAAAAAAAAAAGCTGTGAAGTGAAAGAGAAGGCAACGCTCCGCTTCTGGCCTGTTCTACAGGGGGCTAGGGTATAACATCCGCCTCTTTGGAAGCGGGAGACGTGTTCACTTGAACATTGGCAGTATGTGTAACGCTTTAATATGAAGATTTTTCAGCATTGAGCACGTGAAAAATGAGGATGCACTTTGTTAAGCTCCCAAATAGTTTGCCAAAATCCTCTCTGTTACTTTAGGCAGAGCAGTGCTTTTCAAATCCCAAAACGCTGCTGCTGCCTTTTGTTGGGTGTGGGAGTACGGCGTAGCTGCGCCCAGGGACAGGCAAAGACAGTATCGTGGCACCAGGTAGCAGCGGGAGCAGATGGCTGTTCATGTAACCCAGCTGAAAAAGTGTAAACCCTGCACTTGTGCTACCAAGCTGATATCTTTGCTGTTATTTTAATGCCTGTATGTTTTTCTTTCTTGTGTGTATGTGCGTCTTCCTCGCTCCTACAGGTCCACCTTTGTCCCCTTTATCCCTTCCTCCTCTTCCGCCTTTCTTCCTGGTTCCTTCCTCCTTCCTCCAGAGCAACCCATGCCGCATTTTCCTGGATTATCCTCTCTGTTCCAGTGCTTGGTTCTGGGTGACTTCTCCTCATTGTGTTCCTCTCCCATCCATTTCTCTTGCCAGCTTTGGGTTTAACGCTTTTTTTAAAAATAAACAGCAACCTGTGCTGTCTCATTTTATCCCTTAATTCCTTTAACCCTCCCCACAAGGACCCTAAATTCAATTCCCTGTGCAGCAGCCCCTTCCCCTCTTTATGCTCAGCAGCTTGGAGATTTTCCTCTGTTAGACAGATTTGGTATAGATAGAAGTCAACTACCCATGCTGTGCCTTGCCTTGGCTGACCTACTACAGGTGGGGTGTATCCTCCTTTGGTGAGGAGGGGTGTTCCCTGCGGCTGGTCTGCATTGACCTAATGCTGCCCCTCCACGGGAGAACAAGGCTCCTCTTTTGGTTATGAGGGTTGTGTTTGGGGTTTTTTTTTGAACTTCTTTCCCTCCTGCCCTGGCTCTGGTGTAACTGAGCCTGGAGCCTGTGGAGAAATTGTAATACCAAACCTGCCCCGGGGTTGGTCCCTTGTCTCACAGGTTTTTCTGGGGCAGCGCTACTCGGAGCACCCCAGAGGACATCCATCTGTGCAGGCTGTCAGGGCTGCGTACTTCCTTCCTTCTCCGGGCCTTTTCTATTTAGCAATGTTGACGCACCCCAGTGCACAAACCACTGTAAGACTCAGGCAAGTGCACTCATTTAAGTTAAACCTTTGCTGCTCTGGGATACAGAAGTAATTTTACATCTTAGAAAAAATAAAAATAAACCCCCACAAAACCCCCGCAGCTTTTAAGGAAAATCTAGCAAGCCCTGGTGGCAAACAGTGTTCATTAAGCAGTTTAAGGGAAATCTTCTAAAAACACTCCTATGAGTGAGAATCTCTTTAAGAATGAGAATTCAGAGTGGTAAGAAAAGTACAATCAAGCCAGGGAATCTGTGCCAGGGGTGCCTTCCTACTAGAGCAGGCGAGCCTGCGTGGGGCTCTCCGAGGCACTGGGCACCTAGGGCCACCCCGGAGCTCCTGTGGCGAGGGGAGACCCTCCTGGCCGGCTGGGGATTGAGGTGCAGGAGCATTTTCCCATCCTGCATGTCCAGGGTCAGCCAGTTCTTAGAAGGTGCCTCTCTCTCTGAATGTATACTATGCTGAATGTACAGGAAGCCTGGAGGAGTAATCTCCTCATGGTGGTACTGATGGAGGAGGAGTAGCGCTGTCTGTAAAGTTCAGAGACAGTGTGGGATTTTAGCAATGGCCAATGTGTTTATGCAGCTAAGCGACGGGTTGTTTTTTTCACTTAACATCTCAAAGGGAGATTTCTCTTCTTTTAAAATGTTTCCTAAATGTTTATCTTTTTTTTTTTTCAAACTGTCGCTGATGTTTGTTTGAAATGGATGATCCTAAAGCTTTTGTGTATTCTTTTTTTCTTGGACTAAACTATTATTTACAGGGGGAGAGGGGCAAGAAAGGCTCTAGAGGGTCTAAAGGGGATAAGGGAGACCAAGGAGCACCTGGATTAGATGCACCCTGTCCGTTGGTATGTTCTGTTTCATCAAAGGTATTGTTTTAAGATTTGTTGATGGGGAAGAAAGAAGGAAATCATAACATAAATAACGGTCTTGCAAAAGTACAATGCTGGAACAAGGCTCAGTCTGGTTCCCACTGCAGTTTTATGGCAAAGCTGCTTTCTCCAGTGGGGAACCCCGACCCTTTGAGCAACCCGGCTTTGAGTGACCGTAGTTATATTCCTTCCTCTTCCGGAGCCCGCCAAGGTTTGGGGTACATGGGGCTGTCCCATGTGCTGGGAGCCCAGGGCTTTCTCCTCCTGCGGATAGAGCCCTGTATCTCCTTTGCGGCTAGTTGTGGCTCTTCTCTGGAGATGTTTAATGTCATCGTGTCTACGTAATGGCAAAACCTGAATGCTGTTTTTCTTGCCGTGGGATAACGGCCAGCTGGTGTGATCGCCTGAGAGCAACACAGGGCACTCGAGCTGCATTACCCAGAGGGAAGACAAATCTCAGTTATTTTAAATGGGATATGTTTCTGTCAAAATATATTGTCTATGAATCTAGACAAATGAATAAATAGATGAAAATGTATACATTTTCATCTAAACTCGTATGCTGCAGGAAACGCTGCCAAAAATCAGTAGTACTGCCATAAATCCCAGGAGTACTCGTGGGTTGTGCATCTAGAAATCCAGCTGCTGGGTTCCTCAGTGAGGATAGGGAGAACGAATGATTTCAGAATGGAGGAAACGCTGTTCCCATCCTCTCAGATTTAACTCGGAGAAGTTATCTCCTGACTCGTACATTACAGAAAAACAGAAAGGAAACTGTTACTGCTGATGACACAGACAAAACTAAAACCGAAAAAGTGGGCCATCTGTATTCTGGGTATGCAGCAGGGTGCCCTGCGCCAGTCCCAGCGGGGGGACTCAGCCTCTCCTCCCGTGACATGGAGGTGACTGGCGTTAACTGAAATAACGATAGTGGTTGATTTCATAAACAGGGTCTCCGAGGTTTTAAAGGCGAGAAGGGTGAGCCGGGGTTACCTGGGCTGGACGGCCTGGATGCCCCATGCCCATTGGTATGGCGTACCTTCCCTTTCCTGCATGCTCGTTTGCTTTTTGTATCCTGGTTGTTATTTTATTACCTCCAAGTACCTGCATGCCCTAGAAACATCCGGCAATTCCGTCCTTACCTATCTCCATCCTACCTGCCTCACACTGCTGTTGTCAGAAAGGCCCCTCCCTTTATGCTGTGATTCGCGGCTGCTGTCAGCATTACTTTGTGGCATGAGGAAAAAGGTAGCGGGAATGCGAATTTATTTTACAGCGGCTTCGGTTCTTCCTTTGCCTTTGCTTTGATGACTTTCAGTAGACTAACACATGAAGTGCCTCTGCACTGGCTTGGCTTTCTAGCAAGGAGCTGCAATGCTCATGTCCTTCATTAACTCTGATTTTAAGTGCTTGTATGTGGCTAGTGCAGCCTGATGCTGCTTGGTATTGCCTCAGTCACCCCATACGCGAAGATGACTGGAAAAAATAGTTGTCCTGTTAGCAAGCCCATGTGGAACATATTAATTGGACATTTATCTCGATTCCTATTTGTGACTCCCCCAAGTCCAGCTGGTACCCGTAACACCCAAGAAACTTGAATTTGGAGTTGTCTGTTTCCCAATACCCATCTTGTTCAAGTATTAAAGAATTCTCATCTAACCCAACTATTGTAGGACAAAAGTGTTCAGGAACATTTAACCTCAACTGGTTTCTGAGTATCCTGCCAAACATCACCAAGCTATTAATTTACTCCGAGATTTTCTGGAGATGTGTTTTTTGCTCCCTACAGCAGTCTTAACCAGTCCATAATACGTTGAAACTGGCATTCCTCTGCCCTTCAGCCCCCGTTTGGCATGACTAGGTTTGCTTGGGGGTGGTCACTCCAAGCTTTATGCTCACTTAAAGAGGTTTGATGCCATTTGCAAGGGGTGGGATATCAGATAGTTCACCTAGCTGGAAAAATGACTACCAAAGAAAAAAAATCCCACACCTAACCTTGGAAGGTTTCCTTGGTTTCCTGAGGAGGTTGCCTTGAAATTGCTGTTAAAAGCCTTCATTATTTGACCTTTGTGAAGAGCTGATGTTAGTTCCACCACTCCCTCCTTTGGGTGCTGCTGTTGTCTCTTTGGGGGCGGTGACAGTGACTGCTTGCAACGTCTCAGTCGCTGCTCTGTAAATTCTGGCTAACGGAAAGAAACTCTTCTGCCAAAGCCATGGGTGAAATAATACCTGCCCAGAACAGTCCACAAAGGAGAAAAAAAACCTGAGCCCTGTGTTTTGCCTCCCACCACTACGAGCCAGGTTTCTGTGGAGTAAGTTTTGGCTGAATAAAGCACCTGATTTCACAGGCGCAAGGATTCTACCAGTGCCCTGGCAGGCTACCTTTCTTTTTGTCTCTGCTCTCAGTTAGGATTCACCCTGCATGGCCCTATTAGAACGTACGCTTCTTTTCATACCTATTTTTGTTAAGGGAAACTTGCCAGAAAATCTGGTGAATTACAGATGCTGTTATTATTTTTTTTTTATAAATAATGTTCTGGCATGCCAGCTAGCTTGGGAATGTGAACAAGCATGTTTTTTGATCCAACTAGGTTAAAAGCTTAGCATCCAGCTGACACATCCATGCGTGTAACTTACAGAGGCCGTGAACTAACGCTTTACGCATCTGAGCTATGTGGAAGGAGATACTTGGTACTAATAAGCATGTCGCGTTTCCGTTCTCGGCAAATTCGCCTGCAACAAACACTTCCTTGTGACCCTGGTCTTCCTTTGATCCCTAAGCTGTAATTCCCTGGCCTCCCGTTCCTTCATGCACCTAACTTCCCACCTCCTCCCGTGCTGCACTACACCACTCATTCCTACCACCACCGATGTACCAATGGGAACGCCACAATTTACCCACTAATTAACCCCTATTTCCACATAGCTGGGGGGGAGGAAATATCACAAGGAGACCACAGTCTAAAAAAATGCATTCGAAAAGCAGTATGGTCGTGGCATCACAGCAACATTCACTTCATCAGTCCCTTGAAAGTGCATCTTCTTTAAATAGTTTATTTCTCAATATGCTACTGTGCGTTTGCTTTTCTGTTTGGTTTTTTCCTTCCCCCTTCTCCAATGGGATGATGTGCACTGCAGATTTCTCACACAGTGCTTCAAGAAGTGAGAACTGAGTCACTTGAATGAAGAAATGCGTCTGCATCGTGCGTTTTGCACATTTCTCACACCGTGCTTCAAGAAGTGAGAACTGAGTCATTTGAATGAAGAAATGCGTCTGCATCGTGCGTTGTGCAATTTAACTCCCTGCTCTTGAGTTTTCATGGGGAACAGCGATAGCCTACAAACCTGACACACACACATAGCAGAAGTATTTGACTTCTCATGTCAGAGGTGTATCTCCTTACATCTGACTTCATTTCCTGCTCAAGAGCACCTTAACGTTGACATAATTTCCTGTTTTCTCACATCAAGTAGGGCTGCACTGAGATGGAATTAATGGCAGTAATTTATAAAAGCATTTCCCAACCATATGGTCTCAGTCTTTTAGTAGCACAGCCCTTAAAGTATCCAACCTTCTTCAACATTAATAATAAAAAAAATTAATAATCACACGCATGCCTTGGGATGCGTAGCCCCTGGTTGCAGAAGCGCCAGGGGATTTCCACAGAAATCTCACTGACTTTATTGAGGCAAAAGCCCCCTCTTAGGGAGTCAGCTGGGACATCCTCAACCAGCACAGGATCTGCCCAGCCGCTTGCCTTCCTCCTTTCCCTGGAGCAGGGTCTTCTCAGAGAGGGGACAATCCCTCACCTGATAAAGCAAACCCTTTCACAAACAGGGCAAAGGGGAAATGGAGGTTTTTTTCCAGACGGTCCTCAGGACCCAAGATTAATGCTGCCCCTAGGGTTTGCTTACAACCTCGGCATTACAGAGTCAGGCCTGAGGACATAGACCAGCCACCTCGTGCTTTTCGTTGCCAACCTCCTGCCATATTTTTCTAGCTGAATGGGACCTCCTGTGTTGCCCCTCTTCCTTCAGGGAAGCCTGGCTAAACACCTTCCTCATTGAGGAATGAGAACAAGCCTACGGACCTTTTGTACATAAGTTCCTTGCGCAGCTTGCAGGCAACCCCCCTCTTCAGCCCCGGCCTTTGCTTCAAGCTACGCTGGTTATGTCAGCCAGAAGTTGGGGTCACTCCAAAGGGGTGAGGAATATCTTTCAGACTATTCCTCCAGCCCTGGTTCAGACTGTTTGTTGCAGCTGTAATAGTTAACCCGCTCCTCCTTTCCTCAGTCTCTGCGCTATTTTCTGTGTCCTAAACTGCTATTTCATTGTCTGTTTTGCAGGGGGAAGATGGCCTTCCAGTTCAAGGCTGCTGGAATAAGGTAAGATAATCCTGGAAATGTTATGACTGCTGAGCTGGCAGCGCTACGGGTTCTGCTGCTGATTTTCTACGGGTCTGGCTAAAAGCAAAAGAGGTGTGGACGCGTGCATGGGATTTCCAGGGCTGTACCCCTGAGAAGTGCCACGGGAGGCTGGCGGAGCAGGGCAGAGGTTCACGGCTGGCCCACCTCCAGTGCCTGCTGTGCGTATTAGTGCCAAGTAGTCCTGTCACAGTGGTAGGAGGGAAGTGGAGGTGGAGAGTCAGTCCGTCCTCGCTGCCCAGGGAAGCGAGAAGGATCTCTGCTGAGATCCAGCACCATTTCTTTTCTTCCCGGACACCCCGGAGCCAGCTTCCCTAATGCCGTCCCTCTGTCCTTCCATCCCATGAAGTGTCCTTCCCCCTGCTGAGCTGTCACTAACAGTGAATTGTCACTAACACCCGTTTATGTTTTCTTTTGCAGTGATGATTCTAACCCTGGACTGGCCTCTGTGTGTTATTGTACATAGAATATTTATTTTTATACAGTGTTCAGCTCTGAAATGCCAAAAGTTATGCATTTTTACAAATTATCAAAAAGCTGCATATTTTTTGTACAGAAAATACCAGATCTCCCTTCTTCCCCCTTTGTCAGTTCTCTGTATAATTCTATGTCTGCATTATGCTTGTTTTGTCATGGAGTATGGCTGTAATATTTACATGATATTTGTGCACATATGATGAATATAGGAACTTAATAAATTATTGCATTAAAAGTGCCCAAAGGAACTGCCCTGTATAGATTTAAAGGTCATTTTCATTTTTCAAGCTGGAATCATTCAAGGCTATGTCAAAACATTATGTATTTTTTATTAAAGTGAAATATTAATAATTTTGTGGTGACTAAATTAAGGTATTGCTGGAAAAACTCACGGTAGCCACTATACACTGGGAACGTAGAGATGTCATGATTAATAATTACCAAACAAGGCCCATTTCCTGGTCAGATTTGGACAGCCAAGCTCCTCTGGATGCTGCTCCTTGGCCATGCAGGGACGGTAATGCCTTCCCCACGAGCTGTGGAGTTAGCTGGTACAAAGAGAATTTCAGTCTCTTGCCTCTGGCTAAGGTAGAGCACCTCCCATGAGCTGAAAAGAATAATAAATATAACAATAATAATAACACTAATAAATAGAATAGAGCACCTTCCATGAGCTGGAATAACCCCTGTGACAATGCGCCCTGGCCGGCAAGGAAGTCTAACGTCTTTCTAAATTGTAGCCCTGCAAGTAGCTTAATTAAAGCATCATTTAAAATTAAGCATATGGCAGAATACCTCGATGATATCCTAATGAATGTTTATTAGATAAATCACTCCATGTGGCTTTTTTAAATGTTAACCAAAGGTCACATGCAAATTTGCAGAGCATGTCATTATAATTTGCATATGTACATCTTAATTATCCTTCTTGACCTACCTTTATTAATGTCTTAAGTCTGAATCAAGAAAAATTATACTATCATCAGACTAAAGGGAACATCACAATATACTTTTCTTAGAAAATGAGCAAAGGAGTGGAAGCCTAAATCTATTCCCTAAACCACATCCGCTTTCCTCGGTCCTTCATGTAAGGTGGAAAGACAGTTTTGCAACCCAGAAGTTTCAGGGCGATAGAGAGGAGCTATCCTTATTTAAAGATCCCAACGGAGACACGCAAGAGGTAATGCACGGGTTGGGTTGATCACTGAAGTGCTGCTCTTTGCAGAATGCTGCCACTACAGACGGAGTTCAGCACCCTTGCCCACAGCGTCACTGTATAGTTTTTACCACCCGCGGTGTTGTACGTATGGATCACGGGCTATGTTTGCAGCAGCTGCTCCTGGCCATGACTGTGCCAGCTCAAGTGGTCACCACCACCTATGCTCAGCTATTCAACCCCTACACTCAGCTATCCATCTGTTTACGAACTATTATTCTTCCCAACCGATTCCGTACAGCCTTTTAGCACCATCAGAGTAAAACGGCAGAGCACACAGAGGAAAAGGCCTGGCAGGGACTGCGCAAGGAACCGAGCCCAGCCCCTCACTGCTGCAATCTATTTGTCACCTCACCCTTTCAGAAATTTATTGAACTTCATCTAAAAAACAGCGCGGTTTCTACCACCTGGTGCCCCTTGCCTCCCATCCCGCAGGCTGTTCCCCACTCAGTTAGGAAACTCCTCGCAACTTTCAACCTAAACTAATTCATGAGATTTACAGCCCTTTCTTCTCATGCCAACATTGTCCTTTGGATGAAAGTTTTTCATGCACGATGTTTTCATGACATGCTTGGAGCTGAAATGGCACAGAAAGAAAATGAACCACAGAGCAGCAAGGGGATTCCTGTTTGCTTTCTCAGTAGTGTATCTCATTAAGACCCAGCTCCCTGCTATAAGGCTTTGCAGCTGGGAAGCTTAGCTAATTGGAACAGCACTTATTTAAATGAATTTCACACAACTCCGGTGTTTTAATTGCACACCTGGTAAGCACAAACCAGTTACTAAGGTCCCAGTCAGGTATGCTGATAGTAGTCTTGGTTTTGGAGGGTTATAGTAGGGCAGCAGAGAATTTCTACTCCAGGCTTGTAGCACTTGGCCCTCAAGGTAGGTAGTTGGAGTTCTTCAGCTCCTTCTAAGAATGCTGGCTATATTTAATCCTCAAAAACTTACAGGGCCTGGAAGAACCTGCCAATGTCTCCTGTCCCCTTTGGTGTCTGTAGTGTATTTTTGTTTTGTAACTGTTTTTTGTGATTGCACTGCATGGGATTGTCTTTGCTTGGGTTTGTGTTACCTGAAAGCAACCAGAGCATACGTCTGTTAAATTGTCTTGACACAGCTACTGAAACGTAAAGGAGTCTCGAGGTGATGCTGTATCTGATTTATTTCTTGGGCTGGTTTTTGACTGATGTATTTGTGAGAGTGAAAGCTTTTGCCTGAGGCACAGGGCACCTTGAAATGCAATTGCTGGAGCTCTTGAAAGTGCCTGACTTGTGTCAGCAAAGAGGCAGGGAAGGAGGGATAGTCTGAGCAAAACAGGTTTGGTTTCCCTTACTTCAGCTTTTCCCCAGTATAATTCTCCAGTATTAGTGGAGACGCTCCTGACTTAGAGCGGTGCAAACCATGGGAGACCTTGGTGCCACGACTTCCGTAGGGCTCGGCTGCTTTCTGTCAGCAAAACGCAGACGTGTGCACACGTGTACAGCGTCAACTTGTGCTCTCATCCTTGTCACCTTTTTCCTCTCTATCTCAGTTCATTCTGTTCATAGCATTGGTTTGGCTTCAGATTAGCTGCTGGACTCTGAAGGTGCTTATTGTGGGCAGCAGAGTTTAGGACCTTCAGAGACTTGTTTAATGCTCCCTTTTGGGTACCCTTAAAAACCTGAACTTAAATCAGCATAAAGTATTTAAAACTGGAGACATATTTTGGATCCTCCAAAGTCTACTCTGGATCCTTCAAGTCTACTGACTTGAAAACTTACATAATTACTACTTTCCTTTGCAAACCAGCAGTTCCTTTTGCATCCTGGCAAAAGGGATCAACAGACTTCAAGCTGTGAAGTCTCATTGGCTACTGGGGGTAAACCGGAGGTTGCCAGTCAGTGAGATTTTACTGGTTGGCTGCTCCTCCCAAACATTGCATTTCAAGGAAAACACGTGTGGTAGAAGCTGGGGTTGCGCCACCCTGAACCTGACAGTTTACCAAAACCTGTAGCTGGTTTGCTGTTGCTTGTCAATGACTGTTGCTTCTGCGCGGCTGTTTTCACGTGAAACCGTTTGTCTGCCACTTTCAAGGGTCAAACTCCTTGGCTGATAGCCAAAAAGTGAGACAAGTCTGAGGGTGGAGAAGCTTGGGCAATGACAGCAGAATGAAAGGAGATGGACGGACCTTCCTGAAGATCCGCCGGAGAAGTTTTGTGAGTTTCCCTCCCTGGAGCTTGGGAAGAGTTCTTCAACTGCACGCCAGGAATTTGTGCCCAGATGCTGCCTGCTGGGGCTGTGGGAGCTTGGCGTGCCAACGCTTTCTGGTTTGCTTTCTGTCTTCTCCCAGAGGCCGGTGGCAGGGCTCGAAAATGACACCGTTTATTTTCTTTTTTCTTTGGTCATTTTCACTTCATTCTCTTATTGTGGTCAGGCTCTTCAGAGGAAGAATTAGGCTCATTTTCCAGCAGCTGCTGTATAAATGAGTGCAAGACACGGACAATATTTCCGTGGGGGGATCCTTTGATGCAAGAAAGAAATCCTTCTTGAACAATTATCCTTAGAAAAAATCAGTCAAACGCCGCATGTCCAGTTTAGAGTGCTGCTCAGAAAGGACATGATAAAACTTTCTGCTACCGTTTCTCGTTACCAGAGGACAAACTTCCATCGATATCGTCAATGATTCCATCTTTAACCTTTTCATGACAAACTTTCTTCTCCTGTTCAGTTATTTAAAAAAAAAAAAAAATTATGGAGGATTTTTTTTGGTGTTTGGTGCTGGTTTTGCTTTGGTGGTTTTTGGGCTGTCTTGCCAAAAAGGGAAAACCATACTGGATTTTGAAGGCATGAAATGTCTTGTCAGAGGAGGAAAATGTGGAGTGTGGAAAAAAAATCTGGTTTCACTGAATAATTCCTTTGCTTCCTGTACTTGAGCTTTGGTCTCCACTGTGCACACTGGATGTATTTTGTCTGGAGCCCTCCAGAAATATTACTCTGCTGGCCCATTAAGGCCCCTTTTTGTGGGTACCTCTCAACAGATGTACTTCCAGATGGAAAAATGAGGATCATGAGGGTTAAATTCCACTGTTACATGTTTTAACGCATTCACTGCAAGGAAATAAAGATTTGGCAAAGTGCTGAGGGGTGCGGAGGACATTTCCCAGCTGCCTGAAGGGCAGAATGTACAACTCGGGACGCTTCCTACCAACTGCCATGCAAATCCAGTATCCCTTACCCTGCTCTCGTTGCTGAAGGTTAAATTCTGTTCACGTGGACTCTACAGTGTCTT